AACAGGTATCTAGTACAAACAGTAATTCATCAATTTTCTGCAGACCCTTAAGGGGCTCCGTATTTCATGGGGCTCAATAAAAACTTTAGGGAGCTCAGTAGAAGGGTTTTTTTAGGTCACTTCATCTCTACTTCAACTCTAGTATAGTGCAGTGAACTTGTGGGTACAATTCCAATTGACCACATGATTTATGGTTAAAAACAGTGACCTACAGAATAAAAATCAAACACTTCAGCTCACGATTTAAGAACCCACAAATCCACCTATACATCTTCCATCCATATCTCTTATATCCCCATAAGAAACCTGTTTTCAATACAAGCTAACTTACTTTCCCAGATAGCCCCCTTACCCTTTCCAATTCTTAATTTTGCTCCATCCTTTTTTCTTTCCCTGCAACATATTCCCCACTCTTTTCTATTTAGAAATCCTATTCTCCCTTAAAAACATAGCTGTGCCTAAAGCTTTTCATCTTTTCCCAAATTCTAAACACATTTACTATCAGGACCATTAGCAATTCATCAACTTTTTGCCTTATGACATAGCTTCTTTTGTAATCTCAAATATTATAAAAGAATTTCTTATAACAAATTATGAGAGACTTCTATCTTATCTGTAAATGGGGGGAAAGCAAAGCTTCTTTGAAGGCAAGGACTTTTTATTTGCCACAGAACCAGAAACACTGCTTTAAACATAGTAAATATTCAATAATTACTTAAGAATATCTATCTCAGGTAGTGATCAGATTAAAGATCATCTGGTTAAATGGGAGAGCAAGAACAGATCAGTCCTAGAAATATGCTATTTCTGAAAGAAAAGACAATCAAATTTAATTCTAATTATCAGTGCACATTTCAAGGAGTCCTCTACATAAAAATACTATTAAATTGTGTCTTCTATCTATATTTGACAATTTTTAGAAACCAAGTTTTCTACTTAGATTTAAGAAGCCACAAACCCCCCTACACACCTTCCATCCAGTAGCCTATAAATCTCAAAGACAAGAAAAAGAACATTTATGCTGAAATATTTTATCAACAAGAAAGAGAGTCATGATAGTAATAAAAAGGATATCAGCTTTTGCAAAGTCTCTTATCCCACACTGAGGTAATCCTGGTGTGTTCTGCATGTAGAAATCCAAGTAAAACCAATGGGCAAGTTCAATCTGAAAACACACTCGGATTGCATTGTCTCTTTCCTCGCTGGGAATATGCAAAATAAATCGGCTGTCAAAAACAAAAAACATACAAAAATTACATTTACAAACCATAACAATTTATTCTAACCTATTTAATTGCTTCATTCCTGACCCAAGGCAGTGGTGATCATGGAAGCAAAATTTGGGCAAAATTACTATAGGGAAGATGAGTCCAGGGGGGAGAAAAAAAGAATGTATCATATGTATTTCACTCATAATTTTTTTAAGAATACGGTTACTCTCTGTTCAAAGTACAGATAAACTTTTAAGAGCTTACTAACAGTAAATTAAAGGTGACCAAGAAAACAACCTTCACTAGGATTTCTTCCCATGTCTGGTAACATCTTTTAATAACATGCAAATATGTTCACATAATCAAATAGAAAAGATGTTAGAGAGCTGCTTAATCTTCACATTTAACGTATTACAAAGAAATATTAAAGAAATCAATACTCTGGTGCTCACCAACATACTAGACTTCTCAAAGAGCGTCATCGGCAGAATATGAGTTCAGATGAATTTTCAACTACACTCACTTTTTTAAAAATCTTAAATTGTCATTTCCAAGCACATTTGGAGGGAGGAGGGAATATATTTATTTTATATATTTAGTATAAATGTACACTATATTATATGTACCTGTGCATACATGTGATTAAGATAATGAATCCCTCTTTTGTGCAACAAGTCAGAATGTATGAATCTAAGTGAATGTAATGTATAACACTCATTAAGCAAACAACTGTGTCTGTCACCACAAAGCATTTTTGTTCATCTTTTTTTCTAGCAACCTTTAGATACAGATTTGGTTACATTTTTAAGAATTAAAATTAGCCTCACCCAGTTTGATCACATACACTGTTCATTAGCCATGGCGCTAAATGTTCCTGGCTATTTCCAAATTTCAAATTAAACTTCAAAAAAATGCTTTAAAATTATAAAAATAAAGTAACATTCTAATAAAGGAATGAATAATAAATGGTAAGACAAATGTATATACAATAACCTACATCTTAATAGAGAAAAACTAGGCGGAAAAGGAGTTTAAACTGCACATTCACTGAAAATAAAATGTGTTAACACTCAACCCTGATGGCATTATCTAAGATTTTAAAAAAATCTAAACTCTTCTTGTGGCATTCAAAATCTGGTCCCTGCTCGCCTGCACAACCTCTTCTATCAACCTCTGAGTTTCTCTATACTGAGCAATACCTAATTCTTGGAACTGTCCTATATTGCCATCCACATCCTGTTTCTACCCTCCCCTTCTCTTGTCCATCTAGCAAACTTCCACAAACACTATTTCTCCTATGTAAGTACACCAGACTCCTCTGAACAGATTTATATACTCTCTCCAACTCCCACTCCAATACAGCAGTTATCTGGTTTTCACTATTACTGTCCACAAACTCTTCTTAGTTCACTGAGATAATGTATTATCTCTTTGCACATTTTATCCCCATAGTCCAGCAAACTGAAGGATGGAACAAGCACACTCCACTCTGTTCCTCCCATAAAACACAGCTATAAAACCAGGTCACAGTGCATGGAGCAGCTATTTGAGGGCTGTGAAAATAAACAATAGCAGACAAACTGGAGAAGTAGACAGTATTTGAAGTGAATTTACCATTTTCCACCCTTTAGTATCATCCCCTGGCTAGACTGCGGGTTGGAAATGAACACCAGCAGCAAGAGTGAGACCATCAGAAACTTTCTACTTCTACCTCAAGGATCAAAAGGAGTCTAAAGGGTCTCCTATCGCTTGGAGACAGTGATGCAATTCACAACTCTGCAAATGCAATTCACAACTAAGCCATATAGAAAAGTTTAATTATTTTCATTCCCTCAACAGGGCAAGGGGTGGAAAGAAAACAGTCACTCTCTCCACTCCTCTGGTTCCTGGTACCTAATTGGTTTGGTGCCTGCCAGTCACCAGGGACACGTCCTTGGAGTTCCTGCCGGAAGGGATGGGCTGGGGAGAGGCACACCCGGGCTGCAAGGGACAAGGGAGGGATGGATGGTGCTCCTCTGCTAATGGAGAGGAAGGACTTGGGAGTGCACCAGAGGAGCTAAGTGAGACCCTGAACTGTGAGCAATAAAAATCCTTCCTCCCAACCTGCCCTTCCCCTTGTCCTCCTTCAGTTTCATTGGTTTCACAGGGAACTTGTCCCTTATTCCCAGAGCTGTACTATCCCTGAGCTTTCTGATCTGTTCCAATCTGGACTGGATGTGTACACATGACACACCTCTGCCCTTTAACTAGCACCCTATGCTTCCCTATGCCTCTATCCTATACAATCAGATCTCATGTTTCTTGCATCCTCGCTTCCTCAACTTAGTTCCTTGTTTTCATAAAGTACATCATCCCATACCTTCTGGAGGAAGGATGCAGGGGAGAAAATATTGAGACACTGTATGTGTGAAATAATCTTTATCTTCACACTTGGTAATTTGGATGGGCAAAGAATTTTAGGTTGGAAATCATTTTTCTTCAGAATTCTGAAGACAGTGCTCTCTCCCAGCCTTGAATTCTGACATCAAAAAGACTGAAGCCATTCAGATTCCTTTGTCTGACCTGTTTTTTCAGTCTGGAAAAACAGGTTCTTTCTTCTGTCCCCCTTTAGTTTTCTGAAATTTCCCAATTGTCTTTCATCCATTGCACAGACTATTCAATGGGCCCGATCTATTGGTAAACTCATATCCCTCAGTGCTGAAGGACCAACCATGGACCGATCCTCTCGTGATTCTTTACTTTTCTCAGCTATTCCTATCTGACTCACCCCTGTCCCTTTCCCAGAAAGGTCTTAACTTTATCTTACAGGCCATCCATTGAAATTTTTGTTTCTGCTTTCATATTTTTAATTTTCAAATGCTATTTTTGTTCAAATTATGCTTTTATAGATTATTCCATGTTTGCAAAAATCTACCTCTCTAAGGAGACAAAGGAGTTTTAAGTTTTCTTCCTCCGGAATAATTTGACTCTTCCCAGTTGCTTTTCTGTGGCTGTAAGCACTCCCTCTCCTCTGAGGCCAACTTCAGGCTCCTATTTAAATGTGACATACCATAAGGCCGTACACTTAACGGTGATCAGGCAGGCCATCTAACTGAGCGACCTACAAAGCGGTATCTTTAGCTCCTTCCTCAAGGGCTAATCAGACACCTAGAGAAGAACCTTCTAATCTCGTATCTGGAGGGCAAGGACAGGCTGCCATATCCTGGAGGCTGAGCAGGGGAAGAGGGATGAGGGCTGTATGAATTCACTTCTACCATTTTGCAATATTCTCTTATTCTGGATTACATTGACGCTACTATAATTGTCTCTCATTTAGGCCTATCAGGTGTGCTAAATCACATGCCACTTTCCCTTCTGCTTTATAGTTTCCAAATTTTGTTGTTCATCTCCTCATCCATTCTTCCATTCCTTGTGGGTTTATGCATTTAAATTTTTTAAAAACTTCACTCTTTTAATGGGGTAGATGCTTCTGTTCAATCCACTATTCTAAATTGGAGTTCCCATTTCAACAAATTTCTAGAGGACACTAACCACAACATAAAATGTGGTTAAGAGTGCGTAGAGTGCGTAGGACAAAGAGAAATCCAACTGCATCCCCATCTCAACCCGAAAAAGCCTCAAACGAAGAAAGGTAAACTGGAGGATGTGAAGTAGAAAGAGAACTTAGAGAGAAAAGCAAGGTCTACTTCCTACTCTTCTTTCATCCTTTGACAGTCAGACTGGAGCTCCTCACACTAGAGCGGGTGAGGGAGGACAAACCCAAGGCCCATTCCTGCCTTCAGCAGTCAGGTGACGGTGCCGGCACTCCAAAGCGCAGGCCCCACAAGAACTCCTTGGTTTCCAAGGGTTCCCCAACCCAAGGCCGGCTCCCCATCTACTCACATAAAGGAGAAGCCTATCGATAGGATGATAAAGCTTCATCTTAAATACGAAACAGCAAAGATGAACCAAACATCTAAGGAAAATCTGGGGTGTGACAAAGAAGAAATTAAGTAAATTTTTTAAGCTGGCCCTGAAGAAAAGATAGTGTTGAGGCTCTCCTAGAACCTTGGTACTCAGTGTGCACCCTGAACCAGCTGGAAGTGTAAGTGTGAGAAGAGAAAGAAACATGTGAGTCTTAAAAGGACTCAGAAAGTTTACTTCCTAAGGGCCCCTCAGAGGAAATTACTTCACAACCTGCACCAACAATGAAAACCAAGAAAGCATTAAACCTCGTTAAGATTCATGAGAGAATAAGTACAACCTGGGAGTGCTGTGGAAGAGGATTCAAGCAAGCCAGTTGTTTGGCAAGTCTAGGAAGCAGCCAGTCCAGATTGGGCCAGGAGTGGATATTTCCATGAGGGCCCTACCCAGGAAAAAAGAATTCTGTAGAATAAATAGTATGATTGAGGGTAAGACTGAGGACATAAAAAGGAGTAGATTGGGCTAGGGCGGAAAAAGGGGGGAAACACCTAGAAACTTAAAACATGTTAGCGGACAGAGGTAAATGTACAAAGGAATCATGGTCCAAATGTGAAGCAAAAAAACAATTAAAAAAATGAATCTCAAGAGCTAGGAGAAATCAGGGAATAATGAAGATATGCTTCTTTCTCCAAAAGAAAATGAAATGGCAGCAGCCTTTTGACCAATTTGTAGAATATACGAAAGAATTCATTTGGACGTTCTCTTTCAAGATCCCTACAAAGAAATAGTGACAATGTGGCCAGAGGAAAAAGAAACAAAATCCTAGCCAACTGTAGACTTGCCTCTACTTTGAAACACAGTATATAGTTAAACCATGTAACAAATGCTACTGGCTTTTGCAATCAGCCAATAGCAAAAAGTGTAACATACTTCCTAAGGTTACAAAATGAAATGTAAACTAGATCTTAATTTTTATTTTAAGGTCACTGGATACAAGCTAAGGGAATGGGTAAGAAAGAAATAGAAGACAGGGTACTACTTGCCTTACCCTATCAAATACAGACTCAAGAGGTATGGCCTATAAGTTCATAAGACAAATATAATTTTAAGTATATTAAAGTCACAAAGGTAACCAATGGAACCAATTGGTTTAGTGATTTCACTGGATTGGAAGTACAAGGACAACAGGAGGTATGTTAAACTAAACCCTCACCTATTATCTCCAAGGTAAATTGAATCCTTAATCTAATATCTCAAGTTGGAAAAACAAGAAATTGGTGCAAACATATTTTAAAATACGGAAGAATCCACCAGAATTCAACACAAAACAGATGCAAGTCTGGAGAGCTGAACTGGGATAGAAAGGGGTAGGGCAGGAGACTATTGCTTTTCATTTATAAATTCATCTGTACTTTTTTTTTTAAACCTTACACGAACACATCTTTTTAATATTAAAAAGCTGACTTCTTTAAGAAACTTTGTAAGAAAAAGGAAATTCTGGTACATGAAAAATTTAAAGGAGGGGTTGATGCTTCAATGCTTTCATTCTGTTTCTGATGTTTTAAAGATTTTTAAAGTGTGTGTATATACTTACATATTATATAGTAATAGTTGAAATAAAATGCTTTCTGTGATAATATTTTACAGAAAAAATTTCTCTGCCTCACAAAGTCATCTTTTAATGTTCCCAGATAGAAAGAACATTTGCACAAAGACTGCAGTTAGTACAGAAATGTTTCAGTAGAATTGAACACTAAAATGGCAAGCTAAAGATGAGCACAAATCACTTAATTAACTTATGAGATCACCAAACTAGAAGCAACATTAGTTGCCAGAAAATACCTTTCTCCTTTTAACACCAGAGTGGCCTTACCATTTAGTTTTTAAAGGGGCTTTAAAAAATACTCCAAGTGTCTCTTTAAAAGAGAAACAGTTTAGCAAACAGTTTTTCAGTTTTTACTTTAAAAACATGCTTTTCCATTCTTTAATAAGCTAATGTAAATGGTATTTTAAAACTCTGTATTTCCTCCTACACTGCTGGTGGGAATATAAACTAGTTCAACCATTGTGGAAAGTAATATGGAGGTTCCTCAAAAAACTAAAAATAGGAATACCATTTGACACAGGAATTCCATTCCTAGGAATTTACCCTAAGAATGCAGGATAACAGATTCAAAAAGACATATGCACCCCTATGTTTACCACAGCACTATTTACAATAGCCAAGATATGGAAACAACCTAAGTGTCCATCAGTAGATGAATGGATAAAGATGATGTGGTACAAATACACAATGGAATATTATTCAGCAATAAGAAGAAAACAAATCCTACCATTTGCAACAACATGGATGGAGCTAGAGGGTATTATGCTCAGTGAAATAAGCCAGGTGGAGAAAGACAAGTACCAATGATTTCACTCATCTGTGGAGCATAAGAACAAAGCAAAAACTGAAAGAACAAAACAGCAGCAGACTCGCAGAACCCAAGAATGGACTAACAGTTACCACAAGGAAAGGGACTGGGAAGGGTGGGTGGTAAGGGAGGGAGAAAGGGAAATAAGGGGCATTAAGATTAGCACACATGACATGGGGGTAAGGGGGCCACGGGGAAGGCAGTACAGTAGTGACTCTATAGCATCTTACTACACTGATGGACAGTGACTGTAATGGGGTATGTGGATGGGACTTGATAATGGGGGGAATCTAGTAACCATAATGTTGCTCATATGATTGTATATTTATGATACCAAAAAATAAAAAATATAAAATGGCTAGCTCTATGATATGTCCAGCATGAGGAAACGTTGATTAAAAAAACAAAACAAAACCCTGTATTCACCCTTTAACATGAAAACCATGATGCACCAAAGACAAATATCACCATAAAATGGTGCAGATTTACTTTTTATATACTAATTTCATATGTGCTCATTTTATTTAAAGCCATTTTTGTTCACTAAAACATTCTACCTAGACAAGAGTCTTCCCTTCCCTCCTCTAATTCCATTCCATCCAGAAGTAACCAATATCAGTCTGGTGTGTATATTCTTTCAGATTTTTCTTGTGCGCGCACACACACACACACACACACATTTAAAAGTTTGTTTTAACAAAAAGCATCAAATTACTAAGTGTCACACTCATTGTTGGGTATATTGTGTTCATCTTTCCAGAACACAAATATTTTCCCTTAGTTTACTGCTTGCTAATTGCCTTGGGAATTTTAGTGGCTGCACAGTATTCCAATAAATGAAATTTATTGCATATTAAAGCATCTGAAAAATAACATTCCATGTCTTGAGTGTACAAGCTGTCTAATGGTAACGAAGTCACATCTTGAAAATGTAAGTCCCTAATTTTTCACATCAAAATCAATCTCAAGTTTTACATTTTCCAGAATGTATTAATATGTGATCAGTGACTAAAGCAGATAAGATTAGCAGTAATATATAATTTATCAAAAATCAAAATAACAAAAAACAAAAAACCTCTTAAACATTATAACAGTAAACAGTGTTGGGGTGATGGGGGAGAGAGAAATAAAGGCAGTAAAAACAAGTGTTAAGACCAAACTCAAATCAAGAGGGTACTGAAAAGAGCAAAGAAGTGCAGAAAATTAACTTTTAGCTTAAACTTTATTTTTATAGAAATTAAACAAATGCTAAGTGTAAAAATTTCTGAATAAGCCCACAATCAAAAGCCTGAATTAACCTCAAAAATCTTTAAGCAACAGTTAAATATTTTACATTTAACAACAGTTAACCAACAAAAATAAAAATATTAACTTGAAAAAGGCATTACTTTTAAAACTTAAGTCTTAAAAAATGTTATTTCTTATTTGCTTTCATTATTGGTTTATCAAGTACCTAGCCCTATTTTTAAACACATCGTCCTTATTTTACATGGACAAAAAGCACTAATTCCAAAAAAACTTATTAAAAGAAATGTGTTATTCTATTCCAAAATATCTGTATAGTTTAAATACACTCACTGAAAACCAAGAGTTTTCATTTAACACGCAACAGATGTTTAAATGTATTGTCTACAAAACACAATGTAATTATTTTGTGAGTAAACAGGTTCCACACATAAACTCAATCACCTTCATTTAACAGTTGATGACTTATTTTAATATGTAAACCTCTGAATATAAATAAACCCAATACTAGTGGGAAGATTAGTTTATATGCCAGCAAAAGTTTAAGATTACTGATCTTTTTCTGAATCAATCTGTACCCCTGTTAATCTATTATGTAATTACTGGTCACCTTTCCAAATATATACTCATTTTTAATTTTTTTTCTAATTATAAAATGCACATCGTTTCTAAAATCTTGGGAACATAAGAAAATAATCATAATCGCACTTTTGCTATATGTTCTTCTTAGTCCACACAGACATACACACATCATCTTTTTCTTTTCTCACAAAATGTGAGATCACATGGTTCATATGAATCTATCATATTCCAAAAATTACAGTCATACCATCACCAGAGAAGTACGGTGACATTAATTTTCACTAACTGCAAAATTAATTTATTATCACACATACATCTCTTTTATGAGGTTTAAAATGCTAGGCTTAACTTTCCATCACATCCACCTGGGGTAGGAGAAAAAGCACAAGAAATGTAAAGAAAAAGGCCTAGGTTTTTTTAAATTTTCTGAATTACAGTGAATGTGGCCTTGTGTAAATTACAACCTGGGTCCGTCAGACAAAAATGCGAACAACTGCACCTACCAAATAGGGGTGTTTCAAGGATTAAATAAAACGACGTATGTGAAAGCAGCACCCAGTGATTGGCACACAGTAGTAACTCTACACATATTCTTGCCTTCCCACTTAAAAAAAAGCGTGAATTCAACACAAACTTCAAAAAGTCAGACTTTTAGACATACAGTAACTATGACTGAAAAGGTGTTAATCAGAGCTCTTCCTCACTTGTGATTTAATATTTCACAACCCACTTACGCTGGCGACACCTCAGGGTATTACTACAGCAAAATTTTACTTCAGGAAAAAAAAATATTGAGTTCATTTTACACGTGTTTGGCTATCTGAAATCACAGCTCACAAGAACGAAATGCAGAAATTTTCTCTTGTAAAAGCGTATCATGAATTAAAACCCCGCGCCTGAGAGTTTCCTTTAAGGATAATTAAGGGCTGAAAAGAAAATCAGCTCGAGACTTTTCCCCTCCTCTTCCAATGATTAGTTTTGGAATGAACCAGAGGACTTCTTCATAGCAATTTACAGAGAATACCACGGACGTGTAAGAACACACAGGGGAAAGCGTAAGTTTGAAAACTGCTTCCTGCGTAGGTCGGGGAACCTGGGATTCAAACACTTAAAACGTTGGGGTCTTTGAACAGAACTGGGGAATGAGACGGAGGAAGGAGGGAAGAAAATGGTCTATAAAGGTCTGAGACGCCGAAAAAACAATGGGAGGGGTGGGGGCAGCCGAAAAACCCTAAGGACCCAGACTTTGGCGAAGCGGCTTCGCGTGCAGAAAAGCAAAATAGCTGGGGAACTAAAAAAATGAGGAAATTCCGGTGCTCCGCGAGGAAGGGTAGAAGGGACTGTGACAAGCTGGGAGGCTGCGGCCGAAAGAGAGGTGGTGTCGTCGAGGAAGGGTCGACCAGGAAAGGCGAGCAGCGGCGGGACCCGAAAGCGAGGCCCAGGATGTGGGCGGGGGGAAGACCGGGAGGCCTGGGGGTCTGCGATGAGACGAGGACGGGAGGAAAGGGGACCCGGGCAGCGCGGGGCGCGGCGGTACCTGCAGAGATCGTCCAGGACGCTGCCGGGAATCTCCACCCGTTTGGTCTCCATGATGAGGGCCCACAGCAGGGGCAGTGCATCCCGGCTCCGCGCGGCCGGGCACTCGGGGTACGGCACGGAGACTACGGCTCGCTGGGGAGCGGACGGTAGCGGCGGCGGCTCCAACGCAGCAGTGAAGGGAAGTGGTGGGACTCGCACACTTCCGTCCCACTGCCTCAGCCCGAGACCCCGAGGCTGGGGCGCCGCGGGGGCGGAGCCCCCGGAGTCACGCCCCTGCTCTGCTTGAAACAGCCAATGGAAAGCTGGAGGCTCCGGAGCCTGAGCGGCTAAGCCAATGAGACATCTGTTTATTGGTCCGTCGTCTCCAATCCGTCCTCCAGCTGCTCAGTTGCGGCTCAGAAAACCAACTTCCCGCCGCCTTTGAGCCCTCGGATAGATTTCGCATGCGCACCATGCCTCCCTCGCGCTACCAGGAAGTCCACAGGGCTCTGGTTTTCCCCATGTAACCCAAGACCAGAATCCGGGAGTTTGGCGTAGGTACGTCTGCTCGGTGATAGAGCAGGCTGCGCATCCGCCACGAGCGTGTATTCACACCTCCTGTCACCAAGTATTCTGCACACAACGCTCATCGCTGCTCCCACCACCTCCATCGCTGCCCCCACCACCTCCGGGCCAAGGGGCATGCCATCTTTCACTACACCCCTAAAGAGGGTTGTCTTCTGGCGGTGGCTCACCTCCCTCTCTCCTCCGGCACCCAGACAAGGACTTTGTTCCGGTACCTGACACCTAGTGTGATTTCAGAAAATACTGGTTTAATCTGAACTTGGGAATCTGCGCTCCAGCCCCCTATACTCTCACATCACTCCAACCTGCTAGTCCTCATTCCTACCTCATCCTGCTCAATGGAGTCCAATCCATTCGGGATCCTTGGAGAAACTCTGGATTCATCCGTTCTTCAACTTCCTACATCAGACCCACTGGCCCATAAACATGCACCTGCTCAGTCATGAATTTAATCTGTTCTACCATTTAATCTCCCATCTTTTCTCTTAATTTCTATCTAGATGTCCACTGTCTTTACATCAAGTTTACACTATTTCTAATGTAAGAGCTGTCTAACCATTAGTACTTCTGCCTCTATTCTTGGCCTGTACAACAGCCCAAGTTTATTTGTTAAGATATGAACAGGTTACTATCTTTTCAGCTTCTGATATATGATCAAACCCAAACTTTATATGAGCCCTGTTACCATCTATTTTACTTTCCTGTTTTCCATCTTTGTCTTTTTGGTCTTTATTGGAGAATTCGTTAAATTTATCTCCCATCTATAGAGTTTTTACTGCTTGTCTTTTATTCTTCAATTGTCTCTTTGTTGTGTCATAATCTTGCTTTGTAGATCTCATTTCTATTTAATTCACATTTTTAAAGTTTTAAAGTTTAATTTACAGTTTAAAGAATATTTAATAACACATTTTTAAAGTTTCCTTCTTCCTGAATATTCTGTTATTCCTTTCAGCTGCTGCTTTGTCGTCACTTTGGTCTCCATCTATCATATCAGAATTTTCTGTCGGTGCTTGCCTATTCACATGCAGCAAGGAACCAAAAACCTGGAGTCAAGTGCTATAAAAGCTTATTAGGGCCTCTCAGAATGGAACTCGTTTCCTGAAGCTTCACTGTGGGATGATTCGGTTGGGCTGTTGGTTGGGAACACCAGGCATCAGTATCTGTAAGGCATTCTTTCCACCTGCTTAAATTCCCTAAAGAGAAAATCCCTCCATGCCAAGATGAAAGTATTCTGAAAGTCAAGTAGGGGAGCGACAGGCTGGAGTATTCTGTTTGCTTCATTCAATCCCAGCGCAGTACAATTCTTAGTTTGAGTATCCTAAGAAGTAGGCCCTAGAGACAAGCATTTGAGTGCAAACAGTTTATGTGCGGTTGATCCTAGGAAAGACTGGTAGTGGAGAAGAAAAGTAAGTCAAGAAAGGGAAGAAAGCAAATAAAAGGATTATTATCAAGGCGATTAGAACTGTGGGTAACTGGAGTTAATCCTGCTGGAAAACTCCAGAGGCCAGTGTAAAACACACACCTCAGCTACCCTTCTCAGGGGGTGAGGAAGATGGGGTATTTATATACTAACTTCTGTCAGTTCTCAGTGGCTGTTTTTCTTAGTTGCTCATTTGGAGCTCAAATCTGGTTTTTAGAGTGCTCTAAATGATATCAGTGAAACAAGGGTGGATGGCAAAATGGTGTTTATCTCTCAGGGGCTAGTGATATAGAAAGAAGGCTATGGGGCACCTGCTGAAGGACCTAGAGGGTCTTCCTGCTACCTTATCTCTTTGAAGTCTCTCAGATCAGGGGCAGCTATACAACCCCTGTTTGGCTCTTAGGGGCCAGGAAGTCCCCATACTCTCCTACACAGTGGTAAACCATTCTCCCCCTCCACCACTGAGAGTGCCACAGGTATCTGCGGGCAAGATCTCCCAAGCTACTTCTCTGCTGTCTTGCCTGAGGGAACTGCCCCCAGGCAAGTTCACTGGATTTGCTGAGACAGAATAACAACAGAAGTTACGGGTAAAAGGGTTTATACCAAGCTTTATTCTCATGATGGCAGGTCCAGCGTTGGAGTCATTTCTGCCTCCAGAGTATTTGCAACCCATCTCTGACTCTGCCTCTGGGGAGAACACTGGACGGAGCTCTTTATATAGTAACAAGGACAATAATGGCTCATTGCCAACAGGTGCGCAAGCAGTAGCCTAGCAGCAGGCCAGTTACATCATCAAGCAGTTAAGGGTTAGGTGAGGATCCTGGCCATAGGAACTTCCGTTTCCCTATGCCTGCCCATTCACCATCCCACCCCTGCCTCCTCGCATACATGCTTCTAGGAGCCAGAGGAGTGCACAGCAATGTGGCCCTTACAGCGCTCCTCTGAGCCATAACTTACAAAGAAGCCAAGGCCTCATTCACACCCAGTGTCTGCAGGTCCCAGCAGCCTGTGGCTTGAGAAAGACAGACTGGAGTTTGGAGTTGAGGGAGAGATGCTAGGGTTCTTAAATTATACTACTGTTCCAATTTTTAAATAATTGAGTTAACCAAAACCTTAATAGTTTTAAAATATGATATCTCATTTAGTCTTTATAACTACATGGGATAGGCATTTAGAGATTAATGAAGTTTACAAAGATTAAATGATTAAATGATAGTATGTAATGGAGCCATGACTAGAATTAAGTTCTTCTGAACTCACAGCAGGAATTCTGCTTTAGGGAGGATGACACAGGAACAATAATTATTCATGTCTGTACAATACATTACAAAATCATTTCAAATATAATAATCCTCACAACAAAAGAAGCTGTCATCAAATTTCAAAAAAAATAATTAACTTGCTTATCAGTCTCCATTTAAATTGAATGAGGTTGAATTAAGCCTGTCAAAGCCTTTTCACATCCTTGCAAAGTTCTTTTTTTTTCCAGCTTTATAGAGGTTTGACTTGTCAAGTAAAAATTATATATATTTAAGGTGTCGTCTTAGTCCACTCAGGCTACTGTAACAAAAATTGCCATCACTTGGATGGCTTACAAATCCCAAACATTTATTTCTCCCAGTTTTGGATGCTGGGATCATGGCACAAGGAGATTTGGTGTCTGATGAGAACCTGTCTGCTGGTGCACAGATTGTACTTTCTCGGTATGACCCTACATGGTGGAAGCTGCGAGCTAGCTCTCTGGGGTCTCTTTTATAAGCGCACTATCTCATTCAAGACGGCTCTACCCTCCTGACCTAAGCACCTTCCAAAGGCCCCCACCTTCTAATGCTATCACATTGAGCATTAGGATTTCAACATATGAGTTTGGGGGAGACAAACATTCAGACCATAGCAGGTATACAACATGATATTTTGATAAACAGATATGTTGTGTAATGATTGCCACAATGAAGCTAATTAACATACCCATCACATCACAGTTACCTTTTGTGTGTGTGGTAAGAACACTTAAGATCTACCCTGCACAAATTTCCAGTGTACAATTCAATATGTTAACTATAGTCACCATACTGCACATTAGCTCTCCAGAACTTATTCCTCTTATAATTGAAAGTGCATACCCTTTGACCAACAAAGGTCTTACGGTTCAAGTCAACATTTACAGAACACCACATATTTGCCCCTTCTGTTCACACCATCTTCTCTTTCTAATGGATCATCTCCCATTGCATATAAAATGTTTTAGTACCATCTACCAAAAAACAAACAACCCAAAACCTCCCTGGAAGGCTATCACAGAGACTTACTAGATGCTGAGCAATCCCATTTCCTCTTCTTGGGCTCATCTTGCTCTTAGGCGGACCCAGTTAACTGAGTTCTGCCCAGGGGAATGAGGATAAAAGTGATGTGCCCAACATCTCAGCACAGCTCCTGAAATGCCCCATGTGATTTTTACACTTTCCTTTTCCTTCTCTTCCTAGTTGGAAGCAAAGGAGGCTTGAGAAGATGGAGCCACTCTGTGGAAGGAGCACAGGTCCCTGAGTTTATGACTGGGAGAGGAGCTGCCCTGCAGGATTTGCCCCAGATTCTGAGCGAGCAACAAATAAACCCTTGCTATGTAAAGCTTCCTGGTTTTGTTTACACGCAAACTGTTCTCCACAATCAATCTTCCCCATTTGGGGAAACACGTCTTCAGTGGGTATTCTTGTTTGCTTACCCAGCATTCATTTGCCCATGGCCAGTGCCATGGGGAGGGGGTGTGTGACCTGTGCGATTGTCATCACATCCAAGCTCAGGCGGCTCACCACACAGCAAGCCAGTATGTTGAGAAACAAGGTGTGGGGCAAGGAAAGCAACTCTATTCGGAAAGCCAGCAGACCAAGAAGATGGTGGAGTTACATGCTAAAGAATCATCTCAGGGTTGACTTTAAGCTTCTTTTATATTAGGGAATGGGGTAAAAGGAGGGAAGCTGGGAGGTGATGATTGAGCACAGACATCTGGGTCTGATGTCTGGAAGACCCTTCCTTCCACAGAGCGAGGGTCTGAGGAGGGCTGTGACACTCCTTGTCCTTGGCTGGTTGACTCCAGTCATCTTGTCGACATGGGTCGTGTCATTCCTGGCCATGATGTTCCTGTAAGTCCAGAACAATCCAGTCATCATTTTTGTACATGTTTCAGGAAAGGGACTGGTTGCATTAATCTTAAGCCATGAGCAGAATTCCGTTAGATGATTAACAAGCCTATGGCAGGGCTGCAAGGCTGAGCAGAAGCTTTCTAACCCAAAGATTAAGCAGCAAAAGAGGCAGATACAATATGAAGGCAGAGATGCCAACTTGTTCACTTGGTTACACAGTCACATGGGCTCTGCACTCAGAAAGGCCCCGTGCTTGGTTTAATGCTCTGCCATCACCATCTTAAAATTCTCAATACATTTCATTTTGAACTTGTGTTTTGTAAGTGAAGTGAGACAATGGAGCATGTGCTTGGGCAGAGGAGATACGTGTGATACGCATGTCTATTCACTCCTTGACAGGCCGTTTGTGTATAGCATTCGAAATGTCCCATGAGAACAGAATTTTAGTGAGCCCATGATGCATGGAAGTTCAGCAAGACTTAAAATGAGAACACAGTAATCACATTAAAGCTGAGAAATTGGGTCATTGTCAGCCCAAGAGTTTCCTAAGAATCACAACTTGCTTCAAATGCAAAAAGAAAACAGTGGCAGTCTGAGAAACACAGAGAACCAAGGGTCCCTATCATATTCCTTCCCGCTACTTGCCTGTTACTTGCCTATATTCATCAACCACTCAGGCTGAAACGGATGACACAGAAAGAAACGGGAAGATAAGACAGTCTGTAGCTCTTCTTCCTCTCAGCCTTTCTCCACACTCATCAGCAGGCCAAAGGTTGGCAGCATAGTAGAACACGTGCATATCAAAAAGTGATGTAAAAACAGTGGACTTTGTTTTGTGCAGTGTTTTCACTGTCCTGGTAGGAATGAAATACATAACGCAGGTACCAGTTATGAAACACACATTGTGTGACTCTGGTGATTCCACATATCAGGTAAATGTTTTATATGTGCATTTAAAACTAGCATTGCACAATATGAGTGGTGAAATTCATTGTAATAATTTGAAATTTAATTTCTCTTTACTTAGCATTACATTAAACATCAAATAAAAGCAATACTGTAAGAAGTCAAGAAGAAAGACCATAGATGAAAGGAAAAAGCTTTATATTCTAGTACGTTTAGTGATTTTTTTTTCCTGCCATTTGAATAAGAAACTCTTGTGTTTGCATGGGGGACACATGTAAATGACATAGCTGGCTGTGTGTGAATTCATCTCTAATCTTTCCTAACAGACCCTGAGGCACACAGACATCCCTCAGCTTTATATGAAGCCTATGTGGCCCTAGCTGGCCACACTCTTGGCTCCAGGGGTGGGCTCAGGTTAGCTTAATGGGTCACCAAATTCCATTCCCTGCCTGGGTGCATATATCTACACAGTCCAACCAGCATGAATCTTAGGCCCCTTTTTAAAGCCTTTGATGAGAAAGTCTCTTTTTATTGGATGTCATCTGGTCAGGATATGATGTCTGGAACCACCAGGGCCTTTTCACTATCATCCTGAGTATAAAGCTAACACATGGAGTAGGGCAAAGCTGAAAGACATGTGTAGAAAAGGAGCCAGGCCAGATCTGTGTGTGTGTGTGTGTG